TCATTTTTCTCCTTGCCCTCCTTCACCTCTTCCTCCTTCTACAACTCCCCCTCTTCTACTTTCATTTCTTCAACCTTCTAAAAAAATAAAAATGGCAACCATCCCATTTAAAACTAGTTTTTGGAGCAAGGTGCACATAGAAAAGTTTGGCACAGCAAACAAAGCAAAATGTATTTCCCAGCACATTAACCAACTAGCCAGCAAAATAAATACATAAATAAGTTACACTCTCCAACAATTTGTGTTAAAAGCAGACGTTTTAGTTGGATAACATGTGCAAATATATATGGAAGTTGAACTTTCACGTGAAGGTCCCTCTGTGAGAGTCTCCATGTTGGAGCATAAAGTATATAGCCTCACCTAAATCAATGACAAGTATGCTTGTAGGGAGCCAATTCCTCCTTAAGGCTAGGTTGACAAATATGCAGATTGCTGATGATGCATTTTACGGGTACATTTTGCATTTTTTCACATCCGTTTTGGATGCATTTGTATGCATGTTGTGTTTTGCATTTTGGGCTGTGTGTCACTTTAAGCTGGCATCCTTAACAACCAGTAAACAACTTGGTTGTTAAGGAGCGGATGGCTGCCACATCCTTACCAACTGGTGAGTCATCAGCTGTTAGCGAGGTTCCCTAATGATAATTTTGGATGCCCTAATTTTTTCCATTTCATAGGTACACACAGTTTTGAAGCTTAACGTGTTTAGTATCTACTTGCTAGACACAAGCACATCTTTTATTTTGCACTAGAAAATTTGGGATTATTTTTGTGTAAACTAAATTTCACACAAAGTTGCACAAATATGTGACATGAAAAATTGCAACTTCCATTCTTTTATTCTACAAGACCGTTGCTTTCAGAAAATATTTAATATTTTGTTGGTTTGAAATTTTTTTTAATTAAAAATACAGATTTTACCAAGTGCAAAAAAAATTAAAACAATGGATGGATCTGGTTAAGAATGACAATAAGAGAGCAGTCTTAACTTTAGTTCAGCATATTTCTCCCAATTTGATTTTTCTGTCACTTTCTAAGTTATTGAACAATTGTATTTTTGTATTAATCAAGCTGCATTGAATACTCAATTCAGCTACTTGTTCTATTGACTATGCATAGGCATAGATTCATCACCTTAGAATCAGACTTGCAATAAGAAGTGCTAATACAGAAAATAATAGAAGCCGGTATGTAAGTTTTAAGATTAAGTGAATACATTTGTGAAAGAACATGTTCAGTTTTTAGCATCTTTACATTTGAGTGAAGACATTGGTCCTCCTCATAAAGGAATTTATATATGTATCTCCATTGTCTTAGCCAATAGTAACTATGTCTAGTTGCATTATTTTTTCTGATTCCAGTACTACCTCTCATTACCCAAAGCAATTTTACAGTTTTTTGTTTTGATGTTACCAGTAAAGCTTTTTTTTCAATATATCCTAACTCCTTAGGTAGGGCTATGTCAACTGGGGGGGGGGGGATGTCATGAGGGTTTTAGGTCTTCTACCAAGACATAGGAGGCTCTTTGTGTTTTTTTTCAGGATTGCGCTAACTGTAGATGGTGCTATTTTGGATATGACAACTGACAGACCATTCTTGAGAACTGTGTGCTTCTGTATACCCTTTCCTCTCCCTCTAGCTTGAATCACATTGCTCAATAGATGTACCATGTGATTTGTGCAGCCAGAAGTCTCAGGTCAGAGTCAATAAAAGGTCAATATACATTTTTAACTTGAGGATAGACTTGGTATGCCCTTAAGTAGTGCATAGCTATCTTAGGAGATATAGACCAGCTGCCAATATATGCTAAAATGGTAAGTTTATGTCTTGTGTCATCACGCTGAAGAAACAGGTGTGCTGTGCAAGAACAAAGCGTGCCTGTATCTTCTGTAGTCCGTAACAACCACCCTCTGCACTTCATTGGGGAGGGCAGGAAGTTACACATGCCACCGAGCTTGAAGGTGTTCCATTGCTATGGAAATTCAGAAGCTCAGTGCCAATGTCACCTCCTGTCATGATATACATGCCCCGACATTGGACAAGCCCATCGGCATTGCTGTGGAAGCTACAGCAATCATATGACCTGCAATACTGAAGTTGGAAAAGGCTGTAAGAGACATTTTTCATTTAAAGGCAATCACATAGTTAATAGAGGCGTCTATTTCTCTGTAGAAAAATTATATTATTATGAGTTAGATTTACAACTACTTTAACTATCAAGGTATTAGAATAGTTTTTATAAATAAACAAAAAAAACATCTAAGATTATCTACATGGTTTGAAAGAGTTGGGTAGAATAGGAATATAAAGTAGAGCAAAGAAAGTAAAGAGTCAGAACGACAAGGAGTGATTATCAGATGAAGAGAGGAGGATTGCAACAAAAGGAGGTTGCTTTATAAATAATTTGCATAGTCAGTTGCCCAGTGAAAGTACATTTGTTTTGTGCAAATAGGGCAAAAAACAAATGTAAATAGGCTTTATCTTGTGCTGTTTGAATGTAAACCATGATTTCAGGGCTGTATTTAAGAATATGCAAAAGGGGCAGCTGCCCTGGGCCCAGTAATTGTTGTGGGGCCCAAAGCAGCTGTCCCATACTTGCAAACTGTACTGGTTTACATTCTCTTGTCCCTGGAAGTCTTTGTCCCAGGCGGTGTCCAATATCTCAGCGTGAAGTGCTGTCACTTATGCTGTCTAGCTCTGTCCTATTGCCATGTACAGATGAATCATGTGTGCAGACCATGCCAGCATTCACAAATTATGTCAGCATTCATATGTAAATAAATGTGGCAATGTGGCATTCATATTTAATTAGTAGCTGCAATGTGGCATTCATATGCATATTTTGCTCCCCAGTGGTTCCAGCCCCCAACACTTCTGCTGGTGGTCAGTGTAAATTCCCCCTTACATTGGTGGCCAGTGTAGAAATGTATTGGTTGTTGGTGTAAAACCCCCCATTACATTGGCTGTCAGTGTAAATCCTTCATTACTTTGGTGGTCAGTGCAAATTCCACATTACATTGGTGGCCAATGTAAATTTCTCTAACATTGGTAAGTGCAGAATTACCCTTAAACTGGTGGTCAGTGTAAATCCCCCTTACATTGGTCACCAGTTTTAATCCTCCCTAATATTGGTGGTCGGTGTCAAAATGTCACCTCCCATCCCCATCCAGCACTGCCACTGATCCCATCCACCCCAAGCACTGCTATTGATCCCATTCCCCCAAGCACTGCCATTGATCCCATCCCCCCATCAGTACTGTCACTCATCTGATCCCCCCAAGTACTGCCACTTATCCCATCCTCCCCAGCACTGCCACTGATCACACCCTAACCCTCCCACCCAGCACTGCTATTGATCCCAGGACAATGGGAAAATGATGTACTGTAACCTTCAGCAACCAATCAGTGAGATGTAATTAAGTGCTATAACCTCTAGCAACCAATCAGTGAGTTGTAATGATGTGCAGTAACCTCTAGAAACCAATGGGTTAGTGGTAATGATGTGCAGTAACTTCTAACAAGCAATCAGTAAGAGGTAAAAATGTGCAGCAGCCTCTAGCAACCAACCAATGACCAATAATGATGTACAGTATCCTCTAGCAACCAATCAGTGAGCGATAAAGATGAGCAGAAACCTCTAGCAACCAATAAATTAGCAGTAATGATGTGCAGTAACCTCTAGCTACCAACGAGAAATCAGAAATCATGTGTTGTAACTTTTAGCAACTATTCAGTGAGCTATAATGTGTGCTGTAACCTCTAGCAACCAGTCAGTGAGCAGTAATGATATGCTATAACCTCCGGCAATCAATTGCAATTGCTTCCTGATCTGCTGCAGTAAACTGATTTTAGCTGTTTAGCTGCTATTTATTGTATGTCTCAGAGCAGGTGGAGAGTGAAATTTCAAGGGGGGGCCCAAGAAAATGTTTGCCCAGGGCCCAATCAATATTAAAGAAAACTTTAATTTTTTTTAAAAAAAAAAAAATGCAATTGCCTACTAAATAAAGCTAGATATTATAGAAAATTTCTATGATACTTAGGTCTACCTAGTGATCAAATGTTCTCCATTTCAAATTAATGATTTAAATTCAAACAGCACAGGATATAGCCTATTTACATTTATTTTTGCCCATTTGCACAGAATAATGTATGTGCACTTTCACTGGGCAAATGGCTATGCAAACTCGTTATAAAACAACCTCTAAGCTTGTCCCAGACAATATATTGGAATGGAATACCAGATAAGCTGACTCAAAACATTGCACAAATAGGAGCAAAGTGGATGGCAGCATGTGCAATGCATTAAGCCAATTGATCTAATATTTCATTCCATTTTTCTTGCTGTACCAAACTAAATGTTCTGGTTTTACTCTTACCTGCACCCTTTTGTTTTTTGACACTTACTTTCTTTGATCATTCTACCCATCATTTGCCTTCTATTTCATATAATTTTGCCACTGTTGCTTTACTTTCAGTATTTCACTTAAAGCCAAAACTATTTTCCCACAGTAAAAAAAAAATGCTACATGGTACAGTTCTTTGGCAAAATTGATGTGTGAAATTTAATTTTGCAAAAAAAAAAAAACCTTTGTCCTGTGCTGCTGGCGATTTTGCTTTTATATTTGTATACATGGCTGTACCTTGCAGTATACATCTAGACTTATTCTTGATATACTGAGAACAAGGCCACATTCTGGCAACAATTTAACCTCTACCTGAGAATATGTAATTTAGTGATAGTAGCACTGCTGCTGTTCTAGTGCATTAGTAGATCTAGTATCAGCATGGCAGTAGTACTATAAAAGCAGCCCACCAGGGATCTGTCATCCATCAAGTGAAAGATTCTTGGCTGGCTACTGTTTCTAAACAAACCATCCAGAGATCCTGGGTGATGGCATTGACCAAATGTAATCATACCTATAATAGGTTAGTGATATTACCCAAAATTCCCTGTCAGTTTTGCAACCAAAGCAGCCTGGGATCTATCAGTTGCAAGGTACCTATGTTAAATTTACAATGTTAAATGTAATTTGGCCTACTCTGCATAGGGTGGGGGCAGGGGCGGACTGACAACTCATGGGGCCCCCGGGCAATAGGGGATCATGGGGCCCTGTGTCCTTGCCAAAACTCAAAAAAGCCTATGAAAAAGGTACCAGAGGCATCTCATGGGGCCCCCTACTGACCCGGGCCCTCGGGCAGTGCCTGAGTTTCCAAATGGTCAGTCTGCCCCTGGGTGGGGGGCATCTATTGAATGCCTGCTGCTCTCCCTTTTCTGGTCACACAGGATGCATGTCTGGATATGGATCTGTTGTGCATTTTAGGAATGACCCCAGGTCATTCTTTTAAAGACAGTACCCAGAAAAAAAATAAAAACATGCATAGGAATTCCACTAGCAATAGAGATCCTTATCCAGGCATGTAGCTTGGGTGTCCTGGAAATGGCTCCTCCTTAACTATACTAGTCCACATGTCTTCAACATTGGGAGAGTTTCTTGCAAGGGTGGCAGCAAATCTTCTCCCCTTGAAGGGAATCTTGTCCTCATGTTGAGGGGACAAAGGCTTCATCCCCACATCCTGTCCCCAAAAAGTGATGTGGGGGACATATCTGAATCTGTAAATCCCCTTTATAATATGCCCCCCAATAGAGCAATACAGGGAACATAGTACCTTTTTTACTTTGTTCCCCCCAAATATGTCAAGAGTAGATGAAAACACACTTTGACAAAACATAATTTTTAATAAACAAAAAAGTATACAATGTAAATTATGTCATTCAACAATGTAGATCCTTGCTGATCATAAATGATCTGGCACCTAACAATGTTGACAGACCACCATGGGGACCTGCAATCCAATGATGTTCCCCTGAGTCAGTTCCGACACACATTGACAGATCATGCCCATATTTGTATAAATGTGTTACCTAGGATACCTAGCTGGCTTGTCTACAGTGGTAGTAGTACCACAAAAAAATGACAGATTCAGCTGATGTCTGTCTACAAACATCAGCTGGGGGTTCAAGCAGATATACCAAATATGACCAGTTTGTTTGCCCGTTCACTGTATAGTGAACAAGCAGGGTTTGAGTCAAACTAATTTTCAACCCAACCCAAAGCTCTTCCCTAGTCCTTATCTATTGATCTGATGAGCTTTGCCTTCAGTTCAGTGTATCATATTTGTATTGGCTTATATTCTTATTTTCTTTGATATGTATTAACTTTGGTTTCTGTTTTGGTCTTTCTGTCTTGTATTGATTGGTTTTACTTTCTTTTTCTCTGTGTCTGTTTACTGCATATTGGCATTCTGTCTTTCTGACCACAGCATACTGGTGCTATATCTGATCCTGTATATGTCCTGTGTAAATGCACTTTGTATGATATTGTTTTGTTTCTATCTGTTGTATATTGGTACTATAAGATTTTCTGGAAGATGCACTGATTTCCAACCAGGGGCGGACTGACAACTCAAGATAGGGGATCATGGGGCCCCTGTGTCCTTGCCCAAACTCAAAAACGCCTATAAAAAAAGGTACCAGGGGCTTCTCATGGAGCCCCCTACTGACCCCGGGCCCTCGGGCAGTAGTTTCCAGATGGTCTGTCCGCCCCTGTTCCAACTAGAGTATCAGTAACTGTGGTCACTTGGCAATTCAGTGTTGTGTTTCTACACTTATCCTGAACCAGTTCCAGAGCCTGCCTTTTCTTTAGCTTTCAACCTGTTCTTCATTACCTGCTTGTATGCAGAGATCCTGTTCCCTCTCTCCATTCTTTGTGTATTTGTGTTGATTCTAAGCCTATCTTCCTGCTCTGCCCTAGATAGCCATTATTCTCCTATAATTTGGTTTCTTCACTCCTTGACTCTCCCCACCCAAAAAAAAGGTCCCAAGGTCCCTGCTTTGTTCATAAACAGGAGCTTAGAGTGGCAGGTTTATAAAGATCTCTTCCTTATAAACTCATCAGTATGGTTTATTAAAATGTCATATAACATTGCCACAATTAGGAAAAAAAATAACATCAAGTTTTGGAGGTGACCTTGAGGTGTCAATGCATAAATATTTGCTTTATATTAGTAATAATTATTATTTAAAACATTACAGAATACAGTTTACAGACAGTTAATACATTCCTGCATTGGAACTATCTAAATAATCAGCTTGATTAAATTCTATATAATTCATTTGAGAAATGTTTCCAAAAAACACAAAAGTGAATTTCATGGAAATTAGCACTATCTTTGCAACAGTGAACACATGAAACAAAATACAATGTAACAAAAGCAAAGTGTCATTCTAATGAGTAGGCAACAATAAATTATCACAAGGAATTTTCTGTGCCTAATTTAGCACCTCAGAGAAAAATCAACAACAGCAAGAGAACATGCAGTCCCAAAGGCTCTGCGTTTAAACATAGATTTGAAAATTTATGAGCAATGAATTCCCAAACCAGAAAAAATACAGACAGAAAATTCATTAAAAAATGTGAAGATGAATCGCGAGAGACAAACCATACATAAAGAACTATACATCATGAAGTAAAAGTGTGTAACAGAATCTTCAATGTTTAAGATAAAAGATAGGAATTTAAAAAGCAAGTGTGTATTTAAAAATGCTTTACAGGGCACTACTAGAACCACAATGATGTTGTAAAAGTGTGAGGTTTCTAGAAAAAAAAATAAAAGGAATCTGTACAAAGATTTACGTTTCTATAGCATAACCATATCAAATGTAACTTACACAGTTAAATATTGCTTAAAATGTATTTATTTATATGCAGAGTCTCAACTTTTTTTCATCTCCTAGTGTAGCTTATTAGGCTGTGTTGAAAAACATGTTGTTGCTGTGTTTAGCTGAAAATAATATGACTACAAAAAAGGGTTTGAAAATCATGTACTTCATTTTTATTCCTAGTTGTGCCTCAGCACAAGTAGGTGGTGTTAGTTTGCTCATGTCAAACCGTTTGCTATTTTGAGTGGATTCAGGCTTAAGTGGAGTTATAAAAACAGGAGTTACTGTTATATGTGTTGGAAAATTTGACTTATTTTTTATTTTGTAACTTGCAAGTTGCATCAATTCCTTTATGTCCAGAGGTCATTAAAAACTAGATTTGTAGATCAAACTTAGCAACAAAGAAAATGTGCCTTTTACATTAACACTATGACTTTCTCTGTGTTTAATCAAACCTCATGTGATCAGAATTGTTTGTTATTATGGTGGTCATATGACTTGCAACTGGTTCCTCATTGTTTGTGTAGACCAGCAGTCATCAGTGACAGTATGGTTTCAAACTAAGATTGCTCACAGGTGCATGCCCTAGTTCGAAAATAGAACTTAGATTATCTAAGAAACAGAAATAAATAAAATACAGTCTGTGCTAATAGAAAAAATATATATATAGGGCAGATAGTAGCGAACCAATATATGTAAATTTCAAACAAATTACAAAATATATGCAGGGCTCCATATATTTTGTGGTTAGATTATCTATAGGTTGCAGGTTTCAAGAGGTTAACCCTTTGAGGACCGTAAGATTTTGGAACGCCAAAAGAATCAATTTTTTTTTTAGTTTTTAAAGTTCGTACACTTCAGTTGCTGTAACTAAGCCATTTCATGAAATAATTGTCAAAAAGCTAGATCCATTTGTTGTTTGGTGATAAGAACTAATATTTTGACTCAAACCAAAAAAAAAAGAGTTTTAAGTTCTTAATCAGATGATACACGCAATTAAAAACATGGGACAAATACGTCCCTTGGTCCTCAAAGGGTTAAGTAACTTGATTTCTCTTATTCTAAAATGTGCCCCTTTTGTGTTACTCTTTCATCCATCTCTCTTTCCCAACTTATAAACATACTCTTTCTCGACCTTTTTATTGTGCACAAAAAAAAATTAGAGTGGTAAGAGTTTTACTTGCTGTATTAATTTAGAATGCAATGCAGACTATCATTGCTGGCTTTCTTCAGAAAACACTTGATGTCTTGTGTTCTCTGGCTATAATCATTTTGCAGAATTGATATAGAAAAAGTACAAAAAAAAAGTGAATTCAGAAGTAAAGTTTTAATCCATTGGATAAGCTATATAATTTGCATTTTCAAATAGAGATGAGCAATGGAAGACTATATATCTCTTTCAGAGCAGGTTAACATTAAAGTATTAGGCTAATTTCTGAGTTTCTTGTTTCAAGCTTGCGGATTCTATTGGGATGTTGTAAATGGAGTTATAATAACAGGTGTTGACGCGGCAGGAGCTGTATAATTTCTGCTTATAGCAGGTAACTTGAAGCATTCAATTTTGAATTTTAATGTAAATTAATACCAAAGATAATGAGTATGAGTAAGGATACATATTTTGGCATTAAAATGTTGTGTTTGGTGTGAACAAGTAGCCTTTCTAAAAGTTTACATTAAATATTTGGGAAATAAAAATGCAATACTGAAAGAAATGAAAAACTTGATATATTCTTGAAGAAGTTAAAGGGACATTCACCAAACATTCACTGTATGTGTATCTGATGTATGTGTTTTAAATTACAGTTAATGATTCACCTGCAGTGAATGGTTAGCATATGTCACATTCATTGCTTTACAAATATGCCCCTTAAAGGTGTTATCGCTCATTGAGCATGCAGCTTGGTTGATCCTATTAATACAGAAAATGTTCAGAAAGATCATTTTAGAGCTAAATTACAATAATTACAGGGGTGGCAATAGTTCTCACAAAATGGAAGGTTAGCCCTGGAAAAATCAAGTTTCAGTCTTGGATAGTGTGATTTTCTCTCTAACAGGTGGGGATTGTAAGGCCTAATCAGGTAGTTGTAATATTTTTATGATTGCTGAGTGGAGCTGGATATGGTTTTCCAACCAGTGTATGTCAGTTCTGATTAAGCATATCTTTCTGTGTGAAACATGTTAACTGTTCTCTGTCCATATGTTGGACTTGTGATTCATGTCATTTTTAATGTGAAGATTTCAATAAATGAATGTTTTATCTGGTACATTGTTGGTCAAATCCTATTTCTTTATCTGATGCCATGGTCACAGATTGGACCAGCGCTTTTTGATGTCCAGAGGGGCAGATGGTTCACACATTCACCTAGAATGGTTTATTTGTTTCTCTTATCTACTAGAGCTGGGTATGCTCCAGCTCCTAGCCCATATTGAGACCAAAGGAAGAGTACATGGAAGGTGAAAAGTTCCTAAATTATGTATAACCTTTTTATTTAGCTTTAGATAGAGTAGGCAATGG